GAGACTGAGAACAGAAACTCATCAGCAAACTGTTTACTGAGCTCATAAATCAACTGAGAAGTCGACTCATTTCTCCATAAGACTGAATGGTAATGGAGCCGCCCCCTGCTGGTTGTTACAGAGAATGCAGGTTTAAGACACATCCATATTCTGCAGTATGTGAACTCAAACAAGGATTTTGACTGCGGTTTTTAGCTCTTTTTAAGAAATCAACTTCCAGGTATTTCTACTGGAAAACTAGTCTCTAAATTTCCAGATTTTCCAGATTTTCCAGAACAGTTTAGATGAAGATAGAAACAGACATTCAGCTGCAAGTTAACATTAAGAGGTTCACTTCTAACAGCGTCTCTTTCACTCTTCTCCTTTCCGTCCTCAGGGAGCCATTTTGACCACCATGCTCGTCTCCAGGAACTTCTCTGGTGAGTGCAGCTCGTCAAAAAGGCGAGAGTGGAGGGAACATGTCAGCGCCCTGAGCGGGAGAGGAGAGGAGGACAGGGTGACATGCCATCTGTCTTCTGCCATCTCTTCACACATACATACATACACACACACACACAGCAGGTTGATGGGCGGCAGTGTCGGAGTAAGCAAGAAGCGCTGCAGAGATATTTGCTTAGATTTTGCCGTAATCTCGTACAATAAAGCTTGTTTACATCAGAGTTTGATGCTGAGCTCTGAGCCTCTTGAGAAAGTACAGAAGTACAAAACATTATCATATTCATAACTAATCTAGTCTGCAAGAACTTTCTTCTCCAAGTGTATTTAAAAAATGCAAAGACTGTAGGAGACTCGTGGCTGCGTAGTGAGTGACAGGAGGGACTCTGACTGACCTCCGCCCTGTATAGCATGTACAGAGACATACAGCTGCTGTCAACAATTTCCTCTTTCTCCCACAATTTAATTGCAAAACATTTTAAAATGCAACTGCAGTTTTTTTTAGATAAGTTGCCATGAAATCAGCCCAAAAAAAGCCTGCAAGTGTCTCATTAAAGGTCTAGTGTAAAACATTGAGGAGGATCTATTGTTAGAAACTGAATATAATATTAATAGGTATGTTTTCATTAGTGTATAATCACCTGAAAAATAAGAATCATTGTGTGTTTGGTACCTTAGAATGAGACCTTTTTATCGACAGAGGGAGCGGGTCCTCTACTGGTGGAGTCCGCCGTTTCTACAGTAGCCTAGAACAGACAAACCAAACACAGACTCTAGTTCGAGAAGTTTTGCGAGGTTGTTAAATGCCACTAAATACTACACACTGGACCTTTAAAGCAGCTACAACAAACATTTTGTATTGATTCTGGCGGCCCACTGTGAACAAGAGCAGTAATGTTTCCATCGCCTTGTTTCATTGATTTCAAGAGAAATTCGACCCGATATTCTCTCTGATGGTCTTGTTTGTTTAGGTCATATAGAGGCATCAGTATATTAAACTGAGACCACTGAGTAGTTGTAACATTGTTCTTCTCATTTTGGTAAAATCTAACAATGTATTTGTGAGGTTCTTCAGTAGGAACCAGTGGGGTTGGAGCAGAGAGCGACAGACAGAAAGTCAGGAAGTATTGAGAAATGGACTAACATGTTGTTGTTATTTTTAATCAGCCTGAAGTCTTCCTCACTGTCTTCCTCTCTCTCTGTGTTTCAGTGGGTCGGCAGACTACAGCCCCCGCCTCCGTCAGCAACGTGTCTGGAACCACCGCTGGCATCGTGGAGCAAGGTAACCAACATCTTCTCTCTGCCTGACCTCTCCCCCCTTTTAAAACTTCACATCCGTCTCCTCTCGCCGAACTTGTCATGGTTAAATGGAAAATCCCCTCAGTGTTGCGACATCACACACTCTCCCTCGACTCACTTTAATCTCTCCTCCTAAATCTTCCTCCCCCCCAACCCTCTCCCTCTCTCTCTCTCTC